CCAACATTGTCACGAAATGACCCATCTTTGACGGCGAAGAATGTTTGTTCCCCACTTCTCTCTGGGAAGACAGTGGCAGTACAGAGATCGAGATTACCAACACCAGGTTAGGAAGAAGAGTTAGAGCCGGAAGACGTTTTTCGAACCTTCTGAATATTGGCTACCAAACAATAGAGGAAACAAAGGGAAGAATTTCCTGGCAAGCCCAACAAAACTAAATGTGTCTAAACACCTGTGGCAAACACTTGAACAAGACATATAAACGAAAACTTTTTACATTAGCATCGAATGAGATAAACGTTTTCCTTCTTACCTTGCTTAGGAGGCGAAACACGCCTTTCTCTCCTGCGGCTGGTTGAAATCATCGCACGTGTTGGATCTGGCACGTTCAAGCTGCCCTGAAATGAACACCTAGGTTCTTTTAAAACTGAGTCTGAAAAAAGGGGCAAATATACACAGTCAGAGAGATTATATTTAAAATCGAGATTATATCTCATTGTTTCTTTCGTTTTAACGGCATTTGCACAATGCACATAGGAGATCACAAAGCTGATACTCTATTAACAAGGAGAAAGGGGATTTTGGACAGGTATAACAATAAATACCACATTGTCAAAATATCAAATTACCTATAATAACTGGCCTTACTTACCAATTGTGTTCGGAAAATGCCTTGATATTATCTGTATGGCGTCATTTCGCTGGATCTTTTCAAGTGCCTGTGCAATATCACTTAGCCTTGTTTCAGGGAACCGAGCGGCCACCCATTCCAAGACCTCTTTGGTAGGACTTTTCCTGCATTGTTGGACATCAGCAAACTGTCGAAGAATTTCGGCTGGTACTTCCAACTTACGGGCCAGATGTACATAGTTTTTGACGCCGATATTGTCATCTCGATTAAGTTCTTGCGATATCTTTTCTAATAGTTCTGATCCAGGGGTAATGACATCCTTAAGTAATACCTCATCTGCAGAGAAATATGCCCATGAATCATTTTCTGTAAACTTTCCGCAAAGGGGCCTAAATAAAGAGATTATATTCGCCTAATTGATTTGTGAACTATTCATGCAGCCAATAGCACATAAGTCTCAGTATAAGAAAAACCTGAATAATAAATGAAATTGAATTTTAACTTTACAATTTAGATAAAAAACCTCTAAGGACCGATGGTGTTTAGCTCATTTAAAATCGAGAAGCATACTGAACATTCTTCATCATTTTATGTCACGTTATTTGCAATATGCAATGTTGAGATATTACCTCCTAGGTTCTTATTTTTAAGAAAGTTCATCAAATCCCTCCTGTCAAAAGAATCCAGAGCTTCCTTGAGACTATTAAGTGTCAATTGTGGGCAACTAGTAGCCAAATACTGGAACAGTTTGCCGGTCGGATTTTCTGTGGATCGTCTTTCAAACGTCCAACATGTGATTCTTTGCACGCCCAGTTTAATTGCCAAGGTGTACCAGTTTGACAAAACCAGTGACCGCCCATCCAGAGCCAAGGCAAGTTCGTCCAAAATACCAGCTCTGGGTGAAGGGGCTTCTCTTGGTTTAGTGATTACATCAACAACTCTTTCAGAGTCAATGCAAACAACTAATAAATATAAAAATTATAAACAGTGGAATTATAAAAAAATTAAGGACATCAAGGCAATGAAAAAAGACATGATACAAAACAACAAACAGAACATCTCATAATTCACTTTCATGCAGTGTTTCTCATGACACACGTTTCCTCCTCAAATAAAATACATGAGTTGTGTCATGCAGGTAGTCAAAGACTGCATTCGTCAACCAATAGATTAGTCCTTCAAAACGTAGTTGAAAGCTGTCCACAATCCGTGTACTTTGGACAGTTGACAAATGGGTCATACATGAGATAACGCCGTCTCTAAGAGGCAAACACAACGTTGACAAGCTGTTTCACCAAGCAGTATCAAATTCTGTGTTTATAGAGCTACTTAAGAGGAGCAAAATCTCTCCAAAAGTCCTTCGTCAGTAAGTCCCCTTAAATGATGACACAGACAGTATAGCCTCACATTTGACTATGATTATTTTTTTTGTTACCTTCTGTGGTCAGTAAATTGAGTAGGTCGTTTCTCCCGATCTCCAACATGGTCTCCTTTAGTTCTTTAATCGTTAAATCCGGTTTCCAGGACTCAAGAAAATCAAATAATCGGAATGTAGGACTGAAGTCACCGTACTGTTCTAATCGTTTGATGACATCCACCTCAACTTCCAGCGTTGATGCTAAATGTTTCCAATTATGTATCAATCTCATATCCCGGTCCAAGCACAGACTTAACTGTTCTATAAATTCTGGATTACCCCTTAGAATGTGGGATAACTTGGACCCTAAACATCGAATAGAATAAAATATTATTTGCAATCAATTCCCGGAAATTTACTCTGAACTGACTTTCGAAGAAACAAATATGACGAGCTTAGTCAAGAATCAACGATAAGTACAGTGTAAAACAGAAGTCCATGATAGCTTAATGAAAACGAGGAACATACCCAATAAAAGAATAAAAATGCACAGGCAAATAAAAAAAAAGGGTCGATCTACTGCTCCAACGACGAAGCATTTCTAACCCTCAATGAAGCATAGAGGCGATATTTAAATTGTCAGTTACCATAAGCATGACCATGATTGTTCTCACATCTCGAATGCTCCAACATTTCGGCATCATCCGTATCTGTTGCGACCAATCAAAAAAAAGGCGATAACGATCGAAGGACTTAAATAGATCTAAGTGGTTTTTGTTTTGCAGCTATAATAACAAATCCAAGGAAAACGTTACTCTTGCTTCCAAACATTTCACTTCTATTTGATTTTCACTTGAATCTATCATGGCTTTATCCCAAATATCAATCTTCTAAATGTCCGAATATATTTTTACCTATATAATGGCGATAAGAAAAAACGTCACTCGTTTGGTTACAATTTCTTTCCGTTTTTCTACTTAATTGCAATGTGTATCATAAAGTGAAATAAATACGCAGGTTTGAAAAATTCAAAACAACGGTTATACATATCAATACACCATAACAACAAGCCCATTTTCAAAAATCTAGTGGGTTATAGAGACAACTTAGGTAGAAGAATGTATCTGAAGACATGGTATTATTGAATTGCAAGTAAAAGTAGAAGCTCACATTTTGATTCAATGCACTCATCCTCATTAGAAAATTCAGTGGTAGACGGTGACTGACAAATTGATGTCTCATCGTCCGCGAAGTAACTGCTTTGATCGTCATCATTTTCCATTTCAAGTTCCAAACCTTGGGATTCATTAGTACCTGCTGCAACCAGAACAGAAAAATTGGCATTTAAAACCTACCAGCTGACTCTTGACTAAAAAAGTGAGAAGTAATTATTGTTCGAAGCAGGTTTTTATGAAAACCTCTGAGTAAAGTTAAAGTACTAATTCGAAATATTTAATAACTACAGAAAACATTAATTTTAATTGGATATAAATTGAAACAAATATTTAAAAACCACATCACAATCAAAACTGAAGAATCTTTTGAAACATATGAGGAACTAGGGAAAAGAGTCATCGTATCGTGTACTCTCAGCAAGAGGTCCTAAACATTATTGGCTGAAAAAAGAGAGAAAAAAAAAGCACACAAAACAGCTGACGCGAATAAAAGATTGTTTGGCTTACAAAAGATATCCTTCTTGGCAGTCGCACGCTTGAGTTCTAACCAATCAATAGTTACATTCTGAACATCACAAACGATTTCTCTTGATAACCTGCGACGAGACGAGAAATTAATTCAATAACGCAGCGACTCCTTAGCCCAAATTACCGAGGATGAAATAAAATCAAATTATTCCCCATCAAATAATTAGCGCTCTGAAATACTTTGACCACTAACAGTAGCATTTTGGACGGGTGTTTCATATTTTCACCTCTAAACGTACGGTATTCCCATGGTGTAAGGGAGTTGCCAGCGAAAATCTACTCGTTTATATTGGACAACCCTTCCACCGTAGACTCCAGAATGAAAGGTTCAAGTTTGAAACCTTCCTGGGTAGATGTGTAATACTTTGAGTGGACAGAGGCACCATACAGTGCCTCTGTCCACTCAGGGGTATGTATTGGTACCACCTAAGTCAAGGAGAACCTGAGGGAACACTTAGGGGTTACCTGCTGGAGTAGTGAAATGTTTAATCAATCCATTTTACAGAAACCGGGATACGATTTGGCAGCGACATGGTTTAGTCTTGAATGCAGATTTTACCTGCGTATAACTAATAAAATCAACACCTTTTGTGAACATTTTGAAGGTATTCTGCTAAGTTGTGATGTCCCTTAGCTCTGGCAGTGTCTTCTGGCAAGATGGAGCTGTTCCTGTACGTTTGAAAGACTGCTTCTCC